CCCCAAAACCCCAAAACCCCAAAACCCCATAGTCCCTATTAATTCAAATCTATAGGTAATATGATATAGTTTCTTTAGCCGAAATATATATATTCTCTCAACTAACTTCCCTTGTTTATAATTTATAATTGAAACTATAAAAAAACTACAAAATGACTACTCTATACGAAAGACTTGGTGGAGCTGATGCTATTAATGCAGTAGTTGAAGGCATGTATCAGAAAATATTCACAGATGAGGATCTAATTGACTTCTTCAGAAAAACAGATAAGCCACGACAACTTGAAATGTAAAGGCAATTCTTAACTTACGCCTTTGGCGGTAGCTCAGAATGGCACGGAAAGTCAATGAAAGAATCACACAGAGGTAGAGGAATCACTACCGATGACTTCAATAAAGTTGCTGGACATGTTGTCTCTACAATGAAGGAGTTGTCAGTTCCTCAAGAACTCATTGACGAGGTTGTTGCTATTCTTCTAACTTTAGTAGATGACTGTGTTGATGAAGAGTGATAATCAGACCTTGATCCCGAAGGATATGCTCTCATATAAAATGGTTAACATTAGTTTATTTTTGAATTAATAAATTAACAACACCCCTATTACTCTCTAATTCCCTCATTGAGCTTTATATGTCACATCTTGGAAGTTTTCCAATTCATTGGCTAAAGCTTTAGCTTCTCTTAATACTTCTTCTGGAAATTTAAGCATTTCTGCGACATGAATGCCATAGGATCTATCAATTACACCATCTTTGACTTTATAAAGCATTGTCAACTAGTCACCTTGAGCGAGAGCACTAACATATCTATTCTTGACATTTGGAAGTTCTTTCTCCATCGCAGTCATCTCATGAAAATGAGTAGCAAATAAACAGAAACAGTTTATCTCAGTTGCGATGTATTCAGCAATTGCCCAAGCAAGTCCGAAACCTTCATTCGTAGATGTACCTCTTCCTAACTCATCCATAATAATTAAACTTTTACTAGTGGCAGTCTAAAAAATGTTACAATTAAGATTTACTTTAAGCATACAGGAGGCTTCAAGCATTTCAGCCATGAATGTTGAAATGCCTCTCAGTTAGTGATCAGATGCTCCGACTCTTGCAATGATACAATCAACAATAGGGATTTCAGCTTTCGCACATGGAACAAAACATCCAATGTGCGCAAGTAAAACACAGATTGCTACTTATCTAATGTATGTACTTTTACCACCCATATTAGGACCCGTAATAATCTAGAGATTCGATATATTCTTCTGCATTCTGCAATTATTGTTAATGCAAGAGGCAGGCTCTAAGAAATGAATAAGTGGATGCTTGCTTTCTATTAAATAGATTTATTCTTTTCCCTCTGGACATATTATTGGCTTTGAGTACTAATAAGTAGAAGAAACTTGCGCAAATGCGCACAATACATCTAACTAGGCGATAAGAGATGACACTGTTTCAAGGAGAGGATAATAGGTTGAGGCTATTTCAAGTACTTTCATTACTAGTTCATTTTGTAATGCTCTGTAGTTATCTTCTAACTCATTATATTCTCTCACCAGATCCTTAAGTTCGGTGATTGAGAAAGACATAATTTTGTTCTTAATTGATATGATTTTATAGGTAAACTTCTTATTCTGAGCTCTCATCCCTGCATCTCCCTCTTTTTTATCACACTCAAAGATAAATGTATGCATTTGAGATTCGACTAAGTTGACTGGTTTATTGCATTGCAAATCATCTTCCACTCTGCGTCTCAAATCTTCAATTTTCTTCTTTACTTTGTGAATGTCATTGTCAATTTGCTTTAAATCAGGACTAAATTAAGGATTGATAATATAGTCGTTTTATTTAGCTTTTGAAATATCAATGCATTATTCAAGCATTTCTCTTAGCTTGAAGAAATCTTCTAGTGTTCCTTTCAATTGCTCAAGTACAAACTTTCTTAAAGGATTATTCTCATCCATAATATTCTAGTCAAGATATGTGCACAATGCTTCAAGAGTAAAAATCATATTGTAAATTTTGACGCAGTCAACTAATTAGGCATTGTTTCTCAATTTCATTTAAACTCTATAGAACTTTGCATATAACTTTTCCAAATCAGGGAACTATATTTGTTGGCTCACGCAAATTAAATAATTACAGATTTTAAATGCTGCATAGCAATATCCTTTCTAAAATGATCATTCATATACAAATACTCTACAATTGACAGTCTCTAATTAATCTCTAAATATATTTAGCTAAACTTCTTAATTTACCTTCTCTATCTGTAGTTGGCTGCTTAAGCCACTTTTTAAGTAATCTTGTACCAATCGAAGTCTTACATTAACTTAGTAAACCGAACAGAGATCCACCTTGACCAGAAATACCTTCTGAATTTTGCGGGAATACATTTAGAGCTTTTAATGCTGCAACATCTAGTCTTAAATATTAACTTAATGTGTATTTCTTCAAAGTAAACTGTTTCTATTTTCCCGTCTTGAGATGCATGTATTCAATCGCAGCAGAAAGAGCGGCTAAGGCCAGTTCCATTTCAGATTCCTCTAATTTGTAGTTGAAGCTTTCTTTCAAAAGAGAGTTTAATGTATGCTGTATTTAATTAGAAGAGAAATCTTTCTTATTTCCAAGTGCATATTCTACCTCACACATCTGCAATATATCTTGAACCTTATCTTTGAGAATATCTGTTGGCATATTTACGAGAATTTTGAACTTTGAATCAGGAGAGGAGTTGTTCAGTTAGATTATTAATGACTCTAAACCAGAGAAATGCTCATTGTCCATAAACTCTGTAATGAGCAAGCTTCTTTCATTAATATTTACAAATGCTCCTCCGACTATTCTCTCTGATTAGGATATTCTGAAGTTGATTGCGAGTAAGGTTTAGTTTATTTCACCAGCTTCTTCTTTGGAATAAACTTGATCTTGCATTAATTTCTAATTGACTTGTTTTAAATTTATGGCTTAAACTTAAAAATGCGTCTTATTTTGAATAGCGGGGTTTTGGGGTTTTGGGGTTTTGGGGTTTTGGGG